GGAGCAGCAGCAGTAGCAGCAGTAGCAGCAGAAGCAGCAGGAGCAGCAGGAGCAGCAGCAACAACAACAAAGACAACAACATCATGGTCATCATCATCATCAACAACATAAACAACAACAACAGCAACAACATACATTTTTAGAAAATGAAATAGAAAACGCAGAATTAGAAAAAAAGAAATGGAAAAAATGTACAAACGAAAACAAAACTGGCATGTAAAATTAGATCATTAGAGACTAAATGACCAATGACACGCAATAAAAAGAAAAAAAAAATAAAGGTACAAAAATCACAGTTGAAAAGGAAAGAAACAAAAACAGCAATTCGGTGCTGGTGTTACTATTGCGTTTGTTTCTACTACTGCTGCTGCTGCTACTTCTGCTGCTCCTACTTCTGCTGCTGCTGCTGCTGCTTTTGCTGCTGCTCTGTCTCTGCTTGCTGCTCCTATCTCGGCTGCTGCTATGGCTGATGTTATTGATAATGATGGACCAATATCTTAAACATATTCGACATGGGGCCCTCCTTACCTTGGGTCAATACAATGTGCTGCGGTAATCACTTTCCTTGTTGTCAATAAGGAACCCCCACAGAACTGGAAGTAGGTGTTGCCAGATCGTCTCTGAGGAAGTAGTCAGCCTAGGCTTTACTTACCAGCAACAGCAACAGCAGCAGCAACAGCAACAGCAACAGCAACAACAACAACGAAACAAAACAAGAAAAGCAATTGCAAATACAAAAACTTAATAGCGGCAGCTTAGATGATAATATAAACAGTTATCAATGCGCTAGCAAAAAGGCAAGTCTCATTTTTGTAACTATTGAAATGAATTTTAAAACCTCAACTGTTTAACCATACTATCCGTCATCTAAAGATTGGTAAAACTTGTCATGCATGTTTTTTGTGACTAACACCGCATTATTGTTTTGGTAAAGATAGATATAGCATCACCAAACAAAATAAATAAAAGGTTAGCTGCATTTTGGCACAGCTCTGAGTTTTGTCATTTTGCTAGCGCAGTCGCAGTGACGCAGTGTAGTCATGATGGAGATGGCCATGGTAAAGAAGCTCAAAAGGGTAAAACATTCAACCTTTTTTCTAATGTTTTAAATTTTCAAATGCTTAAGTTAATACTTTATGAAAAATCGTATTTACCACAACAACAACAACAACAATAAAAACAGCAACAACAAAACGGATAATGATGATGATGATGATGATGATGATGATGATGATGATGATGATGATGATGATGGTGATGATGATGATGATGATGATGATGATGATGATGATGATGATGGTGATGGTGATGAAGATGAAAATATTTTTGACTGCTGTTTGCTAACTTTGTTATCTTGTGTATGTAGACTACAAATCTACTAAAATGAACAGTGAACCAATAATAACAATGATAGAACAATGTTAATGAGGAAAAAAAATAATATCCACTTGTTTATTAAACAATAATGACGAGTAGCGTCAACCTAAAACCTAAAAAGTCTCACCAACAAGGCTGCTTGATAGGGATAGTCAGAGATATTAGCATCTTCTCCGCCCACAATGAACCCATCGTCTGAATTGACCCCTGGCCCTCTGTAGATCAGTGGACTGCCATCTGGAGCAGATATAAAATATAAAATATCGTCAGTGGTGCTGCAGTTAGGTCTGCTGCCTGTACGTTGCTCCGCGCAGGGTTCGATTCCCGAGTGAGAAGAATTTATTTCAGTCTATCAACTGGGAAGTTATATCCCTCTCAGACATTGCTGGACCTCACGGGCATGGTCAAAGCCCGCCTCCTAAATTGATCTATATTGTATCGATTGGGCCATTAAAAACACTCACATAGAATTAAAGAAAAAGATAACAAAACGCATGTACTTATTTGATAAATATGGCAATGAAATCCAACATCAAATAATAATTGTGTTTTTAATTTTTCTTGTTTTATATCTATCTATCTATCTGTCTATCTATATACATATATGTATATAGATATATATATTTGAGTATGTATCTAGCTTAACATTATTACTGTTTATATTACTGTTCCTTTATATTATGCATGTGACTGTAAGCCTGTTTGTGAGTGCAAGCTAACTGCATGTGTATGCATGTGTGTGTGTATGTGTGTGTGTGTGTATGTGTGTGTGTGTGTGGGTTCAAAAATAAAGATGTATCTTATCTTATCTTATCTTATTTTATCTTATCTTATCTTATCTTATCTTATCTTATCTTATCTTATCTTGTAAATGCATGCACATAGTTCAGTATCCTTATTAATTGTACTTCATTTAGTGTTTTAAATGATTGCAAATTATTTAGCTTTTTGAAATTAAGTATTTTTTTGATGAGTGCATCACAGTGTTTTTTTTAAAGAGTGTCTATTAAAAGAATAAGGACTGAAACATTCTTGTTTGTTTTCCTAAAAGCAAATATACGTGATTGTTGTAGACATTCATTTAGGCCTCCGCTGAAACAGTAAGCTACGAGTACAATCTATCTATCTATCTATCTATCTATCTATCTATCTATCTATCTATCTATCTATC